TCATCTATGTGTTCTATTCTCAATATTTCTGGTCACCAAATGTGTATGTGTTGGAAGTTGGCAGAGAAAGGGACGTCCACGCTATGCAATTCTGCAACACCAGCACAGTGTCCTACAATTTAACTCAATTCTGACATCAACACCTTGGAGTTAGCATCAGATCACACAGGTTGAGGGCTCAGTCCTACAAGAGTACTCCCTACTGCAGCTTCAGATGCCAATCATAAGTCTAGGTTGTTATTTGTACTTTATCAATTGGCTAAATCAGAGGTTCCCTGGACCCCCAGCTTGGGGGGGTTCCACTAATTTGCTAGAGCAGCTCACACAACTCAGGATAACATTTAACTTAGTGGATTAACAATTTATTATAAAAGAACATACCTCAGGAATAACCAGATGAAGAAACGCATAGGGCAAGGTATATGGGAAAGGGTGCCCCTCTCTCCCATGTGCTCAACCCAGAAACTCTCCAAACTCTACGTTTTTGGGGCTTTATGGAAGCTTTATTCATACAGATGATTAATTAAATAACTGGCCATTGGTGATGGACTCAACCTCCATCCAGGGGATGGTTTCAAGTTCCAACCCTCTAATCACATGGTTAGTTCCTTTCGCAAACAGCCGCCATCTAGTGGTTATCTGAGGGCTTTCCAAAAATTACTTCATTAACATAAACTCAGGTGTGGTTCAAAGGAATTTATTATGAATAATGAAAACATTCATTCACATTCATTTCTCTGGAGTTATTCCAGGAGCCAGGAACAAAAGGTGCTCCTATAGCTCTTACCATTTAGGAAATTACAAAGGTTTTAGGAGCTCTGTGCTGGGAACCACAGACGAAGATTAAAATATCTATTTCTTATTATATCACAATATGGGATAACTGTGATCCCATATTATATCACAATGGGAGCATGGGCTCCCATTACTGGCCTCCACACTTTTATCACTACCCACCATGCATCTCCATCAACCATCCTAAGAGTCCCAATCCCAGACACACCTGCACCTACAACAGGCCCAAGAAAGCACTCAAGCACACTTACCATCACTCACACACCACTAGGCCTATACCATTAGCCTTCCTCACAAACTTACACACACACACAAACATATAAGGAACCCAATGAATGTACAAATCTGGGGATATTCTTGAATTTTATTATTATTTTTTTAAATAAAGATTTTATTTATTTATTCACGAGAGACACAAAGAGAGAGAGAAAGGCAGAGACACAGGCAGGAGAAGCAGGCTCCATGCAGGGGGCCTGACGTGGGACTCGATCCCAGGTCTCCAGGATCACACCCTGGGCTGAAGGCAGCACTAAACCACTGGCCACCCAGGCTGCCCCCTATTCTTGAATTTTATTTTATTTTATTTTTTTATTCTTGAATTTTAAAGACAAATTTTAAAAATTGAAAACACATAAATCTAATGTGCATGTGAAATAACAGGTCATCTACAGAGAAAATTTTCCAAAAATCAAGATTCTTCACCTGCAGTAATGAAAATTAAGTATCAGAAATATCATCTAAAAGATCATTTCTCTGTTAGGGCCAGAGAAAGAAACAAAGTGCTTTTCAAAAAGCACTTGCAGACTATCTCTATCTTTATCTGAGGAAAATATAAAGTATTACAAATATATATAAAATGAATCAGATAAGAAATCCCAAATATAAAAATACTGTTTGGGGCACATGGGTAGCTCAGTCAGTTAAGTGTATGCCTTCAGTTCAGGTCATGATCAGGTATGATAAAAGCACTGCAGGGGGTTGGGGGGGGGATTGGGGGGTGTCTTCTGGGATGAAGCCCAGTGGGGAGGGCTCTCTGCTGAGAGTCTGCTCCTCCCTCAGCCCCCTCCCCCCACTTCTACTCTCTCAAATAACACTTAAAAAAGAAAAAATGTTAACAATTATTTTTCAAGAAATATAATTATTTTTTTTTCAAGTTTAATTTTTTTTTTAATTTATTTATGATAGTCACAGAGAGAGAGAGAGAGAGAGGCAGAGACACAGGCAGAGGGAGAAGCAGGCTCCATGCACCGGGAGCCCGACATGGGATTCGATCCGGGGTCTCCAGGATCGTGCCCTGGGCCAAAGGCAGGCACCAAACCGCTGCGCCACCCAGGGATCCCAAGAAATATAATTATAAAAAATGACGATGACAGTGATGCAATGAGGCCACTAAAGGAAAATTAATAATACCCTAGGAGAAAATATTTCTAATTACCTCAGGAAAAGACAGATGTTATGTGGAGTGTAAGATGAAAACAATAAACAGAAATTTCATGAATTTTCTAAAAGTAGAAAGTATGAAAAAGAAAAGGAAGTGTAGAAAATAATGACTTAAATAGTGAACATTAAAATGGAAGATACAGGGATGCATGGAAGGCTCGGCGGTTGAGCGTCTGCCTTCAGCTCAGGGCGTGTCCCAAAGTCCCAGGATAGATTCCCACATTGGGTTCTTCGCAGGGGGCCTGCATCTTCCTCTGCCTGTGTCTCTGCCTCTCTCTCTGCATGTCTTTCATGAATAAATAAAATCTTTAAAAATAATAATAAAATAAAATAAAATGGAAGATACAAAATCAGGTAAACCATTACAACGTTAAACTGAAGAGAGAAAATGATCCTACTGACAAACAGAGACTATATGTTGGATTTGGAAAAACCAAAATGTATCTACTTATTTACAGGTAGTTAACATAAACAATGAGACAAATATGAATACAAAATAAAGCCCTGGGCAAGATTACATTATCAAAATGAGATAAAAACAAAAGAAGGACGGCAATATGAGTATCAAAGTGAAATTCGAAGTTAATGTGCTTTTTTGTTGAAAAGAGGGATTCTATAATAATAGCATTTGATAAATGAAAAAAATGATACAAAATACATTAACCATTACATGTACGTATGACTGCACTCAAAATACATACCTGAACCCAAAATACATACGAATTAAACTAGCAAAAAACAAAACACCCATAGATCTATAAAGTGAACCTTCAGTGAGAGATTGTTGTTTCTTTCAGAATACAATAAATCAAGTGGACCAAAAACTAAAAAAGAGGAAAAAGATTTAAAACTACAAGTAGACTATTTAATACACATAGAGAACTCGGCAACATACAAAGTACACGCTTTCTCTTATATCCATTGAACAAAGTTTACTGTATAAGTCAAAGAAAATCTTGATACATTTTTAAATATTGATACTTTACAGGCCACATTTTGCTACAACACAGTCAACTTGAAAATAAAACAGATCTTAATACTTTGGAAATGAAGAAAGTCTCCTAAATAACTCAGGATCAAAAAACATCAAATTTAAATTAGGGGTGCTGACAGGCTCAGTCTGAAGAGCATGATCTTGGGGTTGTGACTTCAAGCCCCATGTTGGGTGCAAAGATTACTTTAAAAAAGAAAAAGGGGATCCCTGGGTGGCGCAGTGGTTTGGCGCCTGCCTTTGGCCCAGGGCGCGATCCTGGAGACCCAGGATCGAATCCCACATTGGGCTCCCGGTGCATGGAGCCTGCTTCTCCCTCTGCCTGTGTCTCTGCCTCTCTCTCTCTCTCTCTAACTATCATAAATAAAAATAAAAAAAAATAAAAAAATAAAATAAAAGAAAAGAAAAGAAAAGAAAAGAAAAAAGAAAAAAGAAAAAGAAGGGACGCCTGGTGGCTCCCGGGTTGAGTGTCTGCCTTTGGCTCAGGGGAGATCCTGGAGTACCGGGATCAAGTCCACCCACTCAGGCTTCCTGCATGGAGCCTGCTTCTCCCTCTGCCATCTCTCTTTCTGTGTCTCTCATGAAGAAAGAAAAGAAAGGAAAAGAAAAAAAAAAAGGAAGAAAAGAAAAGGCACCAGTTAAGCCTCCCACTCCTGATTTTGGCTCAGGTCATGATCTCAGGGTTGTGGGAGAGGGAAGTCTGACCCCCCCCCTTCTCACACTCTCTCTCTCTAAAATAAATCTTCAAAAAAAAAAACCATAAAAAAACTATACACTTCATAAATTAAGATATAAAGGAAATTTTATACTCCTATAAGTATGCAGCATAAAACTGAAAAAATAAGGGGAAGAATGACAATTTACATCAAAAAGTGAAAAAATAAGAGAAAGTATCTTTTAAAAAGGGAGAGACTAAATTAATATTAAAACAGTAGAGATGGGGCACATAGGTAGCTCAGTCATTTGGGTGTGCGGCTCCTGATTTCTGCCAGGGTCATGATCTCAGGGGCCTCCCCTGGGACTCCTTAGAGTAGCGCGCCTGAAATTCTCTCCCTCTCCCTCTGCCCCTCCTACCCCTCTTGTGGACACCTGCTCTCTCTCTAAACAGATAAATCTTTAAGAAGAAAAAAAAGTAGAGATTATAAAGACAACCATGGTCCTTTAAACTGGTCCATACTTTAAATATACTAAAAAAAAATGTACTTTTAAATGGTCCATAAAATAAAATTTGAGACGTCTAATAAAAAAAAAAAAGAAAGAAAAACATATTATGAGTAGCAAAGTAGCTACTAATCTGGGTAACAGATCAAAATGAGGTAAATGAAAATTTATGCAACTTCATGGCAACATTTTTAAATCTCTAGCAAAATATAGCACAAATAAATCATAAATATTCCTAAACCAAAAAGCCTAAAAAACAGAGGATATCAATTAATGTCTAACATCACTCATCCCTCAGATTCCTCACTATTCAGTCTCCACAGTTATCCACTCCCGCTGACCCTACAAACCCCGCCCCGCCCCCGCCCCCGCCGACCGACCGACGGAGACCCCGGGGACCCGGGCCTGCCCCCGCCGACCGACCGACGGAGACCCCGGGGACCCGGGCCTGCCCCCGCCGACCGACGGAGACCCCGAGGACCCCGACTCGCCCCCGCTGACGGAGACCCCGTGGGCTCCATTATTTCATCCACTGCCCGCCCTCCTCACTGACCCGATGCTAATCACAGACATCAGACACGTTTCTCCGCTCAGCTCCCACCGCTGTACTCACCTGCCCCTCACCCACGCTCTCTTAGGACCGTGGCCATTTACCTCAGGCAGTGACTAAACCTAGCCGACTTCCTTTCTCGCTCTCTCTCAGACCCTGCGGGACTCCTTCAGCCGCCGCCTGGGTGTGCGCATGCTCCGCAGCTGCTGCTTGGCGGGAGGTCTCCCCACTCAACATGGCTGGCTTTCGGCTAAAATCGGCCCCCTCCAAATGGCTGACTCAGCCCAATATGGCGGCAATCGTCAGCCAGGCCTGCGGGCGGCCATGTTGAAGTGACGTAAGACTGCGTCGCTCAGAGCCGTCAGGCGGCTAGCGGCGGCCGCGCTCTGGCAGTAAGCCAGAAAACCGGAGCCTCTTCCTCAGAGCTGCCCAAGGCCTTTCTGCGTGCGCCTCTGCGCGCAGCACCATTTGAGCCAATCAGCAATTACAGAACACCCCAAAACAGTAGGGTACGCATTCTATTCAAGCACCTTTGGAGCGTTTACCGCGGTTTATTTTAACTTGGGTCATAAAACAAATCTTACAAAATTTAAAAACTGAAATCGTACAGGCTCTGTTCTCTGGACACAGTGGCATCAGTAGAAATTGGGAACTAAAAGACAACGGGAAGTTAACGCTTGTAACTTAACACAATTCTAAGTAACCCATAGACCAAAAGAAGAAGTCTCGAGAATTTTAGAATACACTGAAATGAATGAAAATAAAAACGCAGTATCTCAAAATGTGTAGGTTGTAGCTAAGGCAGTGGTGAGGAAATTCTGTACCGGGGAAAATTGCAAAGGTTTACATTACATAGGAACAAAATTCTCGAATCAACTGCCTACACTCCCACCTCAATAAACTAAAAAAGGAAGAGCAATAAACCTGTAGCAAGAAGGAAGGAAATAATAAAAAGTAGAAACAAACAAACAAAAAGTAGAAACAATGAAATTGAAAAACAGTAGAAAACAAGGTGGGCGGGGGGGGAGGGGTAGGGGCGGTGACTGGGTGACCCGCACTGAGGAGGGCCCTTGATGGGGGATGAGCGCTGGGTGTTATATTACATGTTGGGAAATCGAACTTCAATAAAAAACAAATGAAAAAAAAAAAGTTGAAATGAGTATGTGGAAGAGTTATGTGCCCTCCTGTTTTCATTTCAGCATTATTCACAACAGCCAAAAATAAACAACCTAAGTGTTCATCAACACACAAATGGATGAAGGAATGAGGTACATATACGCAGTGGAATATTTCGCCACAACAAAAGGAAATGCCATTTGCAACAATATGAATGGGACTTATTTAAATCAGAGAAAGACAAATAGTGTATGTTCTCACTTTTATTTGGAATCTAAGAAATGAAAAAACAAAAACGAACCTGAAATCATAGATACAGAGAATAGATTGGTGGTTGCCAAAGGTTGGGAGAGGAGGGTGCTGAAGATTCTCAAAAGGTGCCTACTTCCATTTATAAATAAACCTGGAGCTATAATGCACAGCATGGTGACTATAGTTAGTAATACAGTAGTGCATATTTGAAAGTTACTAGGAGAATAGAAGTTCTCAATTGTAAAAAAATAAAATAAAATTGTAACTCTGTGGTGATATGTTAGACTTATAATGGTGATTACTTTGCAATATATGCTATAGCAAATAATGTTATACACTTGAAACTAGTTATATGTCCATTATATTTCAATAAAAAATGTAATGATGTGAGATAATGGATATCTTAACTAACCTTATTTTTGAAATGGTTTTATTTATGTTTAAGATATTATTCATTCATTCATGAGACACAGAGACATTGGCAGAGGGAGAAGCAGGCTCCATGCAGGGAGCCCAATGCAGGACTCTGGGATCACAGCCTGAGCCGAAGACAGACACTCAACCACTCAGCCACCCAGGCATCACGTGATGGCTTTATGATATATATGTGCACTAAATCATCACATTGTACATTTTAAACTTACACAACATTATTTGTCAATTAGATCTCAATAAAGCTGGAGGATGGATTCAAACTCAAAAACAGTTTTTAAAAAATGATACAAATAGATTAAAAGTAATAGAGAAAGCTATAGCACATTAATAACACTAAAAGAAAACTAGGACACTTGGGTGGCTCAGTGGTGGGTCATCTGCCTTCCACCTGGGGCATGATCCCGGGGTCCTGGGATCAAGTTCCACATCACGCTCCCTGCATTACCTTTTGCTTTGCCAATGGATTTCAGGATGCTTTAGCAAGGACATGCAGTGAAAAAGGAAAGCTAGCAGGCCTTGTCATCCTTGAGGAAGTGGGACAGAAGAGGAGCATTTAGAGAACATCTACTTGAGGGAAGACCAAAATCTCCTAGGAAGCTATGGGACAGAACATCTTGTGACTTGATTTTGCAAACTGGAGATAATGAAACAAAGTTTATCTTTAAAAAATAAAGGATTACATTTGCAACTTTGCAGTATTTCTTGGAGATGACAATGATTAGGCTCTATCATCTAACAATGATTTCCTTGTTATGGAAAATCTTAAATACACGTGTCACAAGCACACTACAAACTTTGCAGTATTTCTTGGAGATGACAATGATTAGGCTCTATCATCTAAAAATGATTTCCTTGGGATCCCTGGGTGGCGCAGCGGTTTGGCGCCTGCCTTTGGCCCAGGGCGCGATCCTGGAGACCCGGGATCGAGTCCCACGTCAGGCTCCCGGTGCATGGAGCTTGCTTCTCCCTCTGCCTGTGTCTCTACCTCTCTCTCTCTCTCTGTATGACTATCGTAAATAAATAAATAAAAAAAAATTAAAAATGATTTCCTTGTTATGGAAAATCTTAAATACACGTGTCACAAGCACACTACAAAGGCACACACAGAGTCCACTTTATCCAGTCCTCAGGCAAGATTAACATAATTGTAAACTCAGTGATATTTCACTACATGTTTAACTTGGCTCCTTACATGTCTCATCAAGCAAAGCACAAGATAAAGTCACACAACAAACAAGATAGAACAAAAGGTAGAAGGTTAATGAACCACATGTGAAGTCAGTCTGTGAGTGAGTAGTTGAAAGAAGGCCTCGGTCCAGTCTAGGTCAGCCCTCTCGGCACACACTGCTTACGTTCATGCAGTGGAGGATCTTTTCTGTTCTGAAATCAGTTCAGCAGAGCCTTCCGTGGCAGCTGCCTTTTAGATACGGTCAGATGTGAGTCAGCGTCTGGAAAGTTTGACAGTTTGCTGCAAAAATCTTATTTTTTTTAAAGATTTATTTAAGCAATCTCTACATCCGTCATGGGCTTAAGCTCACAACACTGAAATCAAGAGTCTCGTGCTCCACCAACTGAGACAGTCAGGCACTCCCAAATACCCCCCATTTATTTATTATTTATTTATTTATTTATTTATTATTTTTAAAAGATTTTGTTTATTTATTCATAGAGATAGAGAGGCAGAGACACAGAGGGAGAAGCAGGCTCCGTGTAGGGGGCCCGATGTGGGACCCGATCCTGGGTCGCCAGGATCACATCCCGGGCTGCAGGCAGCGCCAAACCGCTGGGCCACTCAGGTTGCCCTGGGCCACCCACCTAGGCTGCCCAATTGCCCCCTTTTAAAGGACTTAATCAGTCTTGGACTTTTACAGACCCCCTCTGGTTCTGCTGATTATCAGTCAGCCTGTGCTGGTTTGGATGGCATCTGGTCTGAGCCGCAGTGTCTTTGGCCGCTTGCATCATTGCTTGACATGAGTGACCATCTTGCTCTCTACAGAACACAAAATAGAAGAGTTTCAGGAACTTCCATATATCACCAGCTTCAACCGTCGTCAGTTTGTGATTATTGTGTATTGGGTAAAATTTTCTCCATGAGATTGGATAACTAGAGTCTAGAGAGGCTCATTCAGTGGTTTACATTTTTGGCAGTTTCCAGCAATGAATCAAGGAACTTCCTCATACACATGGATGTGGTCAGGAAGTGAGCATTCTGGCGGTAGGAGTACTGGGTTGAAGTGTTTTCAAGATGCTGATGAATGTAATGAACCTGACTTTTCCATGAACAGTATGAGAAACTGCCTACCATGCTAGCCACTGTGTTGCAAGGAGTATGTCTGTGCACACTTTTACATTCTTGGATTGCCCTGTCAGAGCACATAAATTGGCTGGATCACAGAACCAGAGAATGGGTGCCTGGGGTGGGAGACACAACGTTTTTTTTTTTGTTTGTTTGTTTGTTTTAAGATTGTATTTATTTGAGATAGAGAGCACACAAAAGGTAGGGAGAGGCAGAGAGGGAGGGAGAAGCAGACTTCCTACTGAGTAGGGAGCCTGACATGGGACCCCGAGATCATGACCTGAACTGAAGTCAAATATTTAACTGACTGAGGCACCCAGGTGCCATGAGACATCTTTTTACTGTAACCCTTTCTTTCTACTTTGTAAATTTTGTGGTTGTGCTTGTGAATCTGTATGTTATACTATGCATTTATGATTCAAAAAGATAAAGTATTTGACCAATCTAATGGGTTGTATCTCATTATAATTTGCATTTCTTAATGGCTTTTGAGTTTGAACATCTTTTGTATGTATTTATTAACCATTTATATTTCTGTTTCTGTTGATTGAATTTCCTTGGCCTATTATTTTGTGGTGTTTTTTAAAGGTTTTATTTATTTTTGGGGGAGAGAGAGAGAGAGCACAGCCGGCAGGGAGGAGGAGCAGAGGGAGAAGCAGACTCCTAGGACGCTGAGATCATGACCTGAGCTGAGGTAGACCCTTAACTGACTGAGCCACTCAGGCACCCCTGTGGGGTTTATTTTTTTATTGATAGAAACACATATTTTGAATAATCACTCACCTTCCTTACTTTGAATTAATTCCAGCTGTTTTCTCCTATGTGGTCAGTCATCTTATTTTATTGAAAGTTTTTTCACCTGGATTTAATCTTTTTCATTGTTGTTGGTATATAGAACTCAATGCATTTTTTAATAGAGGAAGGTGAGTTTGTTTCTCTAATATTAACAAAAATTTTATAAGAAAAATTACTAGGATAATGCGTGGAGTGGTATAGGCATCTCTACTTCTGTTAGGTCAAAAGAAAGGAAGGAAGGCGAGAACAGAAAGGAAACAAACCTTCAAAGAAATTTGCTTTTTGGTCTACAGTCAATATGAAGAGGTGACCTTTGGAGCC